GGGGCCACGCAGGCCCCTTCTCTGCGCCGCCACCGCGGCCGGGACACGCGCGGCTGGTGCGGACTGAGGGAGAAGGGTTGGGAGAGCCCCGGAAACTGAAACATGGATCGCCAGGCCCAAGAATCTGGGGCCGCGGCCTGCCTTCCCCCTGTGGCCTCCTTATTTCAATGTCGTTGGGTGGACCCAGCACTGGATGCCTCTGCGCAGGCTGTTCTGAAGCTGCAAGTCTCCGGAGTTAAGTCAGAATCGCCTCTCTCCTCGTGCTCTGCACCACGGCCATTTCCCAGGTCAGGGCGCGCGGGCACAGGCAGCTAAAATGCCCCCGGGGAAGGCGTGGATGAGGATGGGGACCTGGCAGTCTGCCCCAGAGCCTGCCGCCTCCACCTGACAACTATTTGTCAAACTGCCGAATAAAGGAATTCTCCCGGGATCTGATTAACTTCGGGTTCCCAGGCCCCCTTCCGAGAGAGAGGTTCAGTAAACTCAGGAATCTGGATTTAAAAACAAAACCCCAAATCTATATTTGCTATAATCAGGAGAGACCGGGACCAGGGACCGGTGGCCGATGCTGGGGTTCACAGGCGCCCCCAGAAATCTATATTTGCTATAATCAGGAGAGACCGGGACCAGGGACCGGTGGCCGATGCTGGGGTTCACAGCGCGCCCCCAGACCAGGTCTAACCTGCTTGAGCCCAGTCCTCTGTGAGCTGTGACCCTGCAGCTCCTTCCCTAGGGGTGGCCTCTTAGGAGCTGGAGCATTTGCTGGGACATCAGCGCCTTTATTAAAACCCTAACGTCTGTTGGGGAAACTGAGGCTCGGGTGTCCATATGGCCAGGGTGTCCCCCCCAGTCAGGGGGTTCCAGAGTCAGCAGAGGCCCTGAACTGGACTAGCCCAACCTGTGATTAGAGGAGGATGCTGAGGCTGGGCTGGGAGGGGCCAACCCAGCCATTCCCTCACTCACCAGCACTCACAGGGCTCCTCCCGGCACCGCTCCAGTGCTGCTCTGGGCTCTGGTGTTTGCCCTGAGGAGGCCTCCCTCTGGGGAGCGGGGAGCTCAGTGGGGGTGATCAGCTCTTTTTTTTTTTTTAAATCCTCATCCGAGGATATATTTTCATTGATTTTAGAGAGAGAGGAAGGGAGAGAAAGAGAGAGTGAAAGGGAGAGAGAGAAACATCAATGTGAGAGAGAAACATGGATTGGTTGTCTCCCGTAGACACCCTGACCGGGATGGGACCCATAACCTAGGTATGTGCCCTGACCAGGAATCGAACCTGCAACCATTTGGTGTACGGGACGACGAGCCACCCGGGAGGGGTGATCAGCTCTTCATGGGGCATGAGACGGGCCTCACGGAGCAGGACCCTGAGCCAGCCGTGGAGGAGGAGCAGAGGAGAATGGGAGGGAGGGTCCGCTGAGCAGTGGGAACAGCGTGGACAAAGGCTGGGAGTGTGAAAGGCGGGTGTGGGGTGCTAGGGAGCAGGGAGAAGCCAGAGGGGGATGGAAGGGTAGGCTTGGCCGCGTTGCAGAAGGTCTCGAGAGCCATGCCGAGGCGTAGGCCAGTGCGTCCTGCCTTTGCCTGAGCCCTAAGCGCCGCCATGCAGATTCCTGAGCCCCACTCCGGCCTTTGGAGTCGAATCTGGAAGGAGGCCCAGGGAAGGCGGGGGGCGGGGAAACCACTAGCGAGTCACCCTGGTTACAACACACCCATTTCCCAGCAGGTGTGGGGTGACCGCAGGATTTCCACATTCAGAGCAGTGACTCAGTGCTGGTGTTTGCACCGCGGATCCCGGGCTGCAGAAAGCCCAGCAGGCAGGGAGGTTGTCCCCCAAGCCTTTTGTTTCCTGATGCTCAGATTCAGAAAGGAGCTGAAGTGAGGTGTCAAAGAGGTGGGAAGAGGACCTTTCCTGGACCCTCCTCTCCTACCCCTACCCCCTGCCCCCTGTCCCCTGTCCCCTGTCCGGCCCCAGGATGGAGGAGTTTGGGATCAAACAGCTCACTGCCTGCAGCTGCTTCCCGTGCACCTGGGAGGGGGCAGGGACCGAAGGCCCCCTGGGGCTTCATTTCCTCACATTTGGGAAATCGGGCATCTTATGAAACACAGTTTCCAACACATAGTCCATTCACCATAAACACTCATGTCTATCGTTGCCGTCAAGAAGTATAGCCTGGCCCTGACCAGTGTCGCTCCGTGATTAGAGCGGCCGCACATGGAAGGGTCATAGGTTCGATTCCTGGTCAAGGGCTCCTACCTGGATTGCAGGTTCAATCCCCAGGTTCCGGTTAGGGCTCGTGCAGGAGGCAACCAATCCATGTGTGTCTCTCACATCCATGTTTCTCTCTCTCTTCCCCCACCCCACACACACACTCCCTCTAAAAATCAATGGAAAATATATCCTTGGGTGAGGATTAACAAAGAAAAAAGCATAGCCCAGAGGTTCAGAGCATGGGCTCTGGATCCCCATTGCCTGGGGCTGAGAGTGGCTTTGCTACTTACTAAGTAGCTGACTTCTCAGTTTCCCCATTTGTGAAAATACAGTGACTACTTTATATGGTGGTAGTGACGTTGAAAATAAGTGTCAGCACACAGAACAGTGCCCGGTACAGAGCAAACACTATGTATTTGTTAAATAAAAATAATGAGCCCCATTGGATGGGGGTTAGTCTGCCCGTTTTGCAGGCGAGGAAACAGAATCAGCGATGTGTGTGGTGGCCTTGCCTGCGGTCCCATGTGTAGGACTGACAGAGGGAGGGATTCGAACCCACTTCCCTCCCCAGCCTGTGTTCTTCACTGTCCCAGTGTGCTGGGGTGACCGAGAGGGACATCTTTCCCAGCATTCCTCATGGCCGGCACTGTGGAGCCGTACCTGGCCATGTCAGACCAGACTCCCCTTGGCTAGTCTGCGAGACAGGCCGATGGCTTGTGAGGAGGTTGTATGAACTTGCCCTTGCCAGAGTGGGTGGGAGAGCCCAGCGGTGGCTGCAGGTCCTGCCGGAGCCAGCGTCAGGTGGGCTGTGTTCCCGTTGCTTGTGGTGTAACTTCCAGCAAGCCATTCTGCTCCTCTGAGCTGGAGGCGCAGAGAAGGGCTTGAAGGCAGGGGCCCAGGTTCAGATGTGAGCTTGCTGCTTCCTCTCTGTGATCTGGAGGCAGCTGCCTAACCTCTCTGAGCCTCGGTTTGCTTGTCAGTAAAATGGGTATATGGGGGGGGGATGTTCACAAGATAATTTTTATAGGCACCTTGCCCGTGGCTCAGTGATTGCAGTTCTGTCCCTTTTAGGACAGTCACCTCTCCATATCCAACGCCTGGCTTCCCCATTCATTTCTTCTTCGAATGTATATTGAGCACGTACCTGTGCGGGCAGGTGCCAGGTGCTGCCGACAGAGCACTGGACAGTCCCTCCCTCCTGGGCTTCAATTCCACTTGAGAAGACAGGCCATACCTGCACACATGCTCACAGACCCCACCCTTATGTATAATTCCTAAAGCCACGGGCTTGGAAAACCGCAAGTTTTTTCACAAAACGTCAGTCGGGTGCACGACCTGCCCTGAGCTCAGCTTGGGGCCACTGGGCCTTTGTTTCTCCTCCTCGCTGAGCGCGTCCGTCCTGCAGGGATGTCCCTGGGATGGGTCCCGGGGTGCTGCTCTGGACACATGGGGGGTGCTTCCGTCGGCTGGCATTTTGTTCACGGCGACCTTTGTATAATCGGAGGGATTCTGGCCCCGGATTTCGCTGAGAGAACGTGGACCCGCGATGCCCTGTTGGTAGTGACAGCACCCGAAGGAGAGGGGAGCAGGTGACGCGGGCCATGGCCTCCCTGAGGAGGGACAGTAAAGACAGGGGCAGAGGCTGGGAGTAGAGCAGGTCTCGTCCATCGCCCACCCGCTTCCGCCGCTGCTCGCCCTGCGTGGGCCGCTCGTCTCCGTGTCTGTGCCTTTCCAAGAAGCGCTGATGCCTCAGGTTCAGCTTTGGCTCCGCCGACTCATTCTCGCCCTGGGCCCCCAGGGGCCTCCTCGCCTCCAGGTGGCTTAAGAAGTCCAGGGTCTTGGCTGAAGCAGGCCTGGGTGCTGGGACCTGCTGGGCCGGTCACCAGCCGGGTTTGTGGAGCAGGTTCCTGAGGGGAGGCTGTGTCCTTCTGAGCAGAGGACTGTCGGGGGACTAGCAGCCTCCAGCCCGCAGAGCCGCTCACAAGCTGAAAGTGACGTGTCCCGAGTGCCAGCGCCGGGCTCACGGCTCGCATTCACTCAGCGAACATGCCAGGCGCCGGGGACACGGCAGGCAAGCGAGGGCCCTTGTGGAGCTGAGTCTAGTGGGGGAGGTGACTCCGGGGGGGTGACTTTTGGGCTGAGACCTGAAGTAAAAGACGCGCGGCTACCCTCCGGAAAAGAGCGTTCCGGCGGAGAACAGCAAGTGCAGAGGCCCTGGGGTGGGGACAGGCTCGGTGTGTGGGACCCGCCACAAGGAGGCCGATGCGGTTGGATGGGACTGAGCCAGGCGGAGAGGGCGGGGCCATGGGGAGTCAACAGGGCCGGTGCCTGCGTGGTCTCAGTGGACGTATAGAGGAGCCTTCAGAGCAGGACCCGCTCTTCTCCAGACGTCACGGACGGGGAAACAGCACAGAATGGTCTAGTACTCGCTCAGGGTGACAGCTGCGAGGCAGCAAGCAGGGCTGCGACCGCCGTTCCAGCCTCAGTCTGCACCACTGGGTTTGGACACATATGGAAACGGGCTCAATGCGGAGGCCCCCCTGCTGCTGCGATCCCTGCTGGTGTGGCCCCTGCTGCGGTCAGCCCAGCAGCCCCGTGGGCGTGGCCAGGCCGGGCGTGGCGTTACAGACGACCATGTACCAGTGAGCCCCTTCCCCCGGCCAGACAGTGAGGACGCACCCAAGCAGAGGGGGCGGGGAGGTGGGACCGGACGGTGGAGGCCCCGCTCCATAGCAGGCACTATGCTGGGGCGAGGCGGGTAGACGTCTGGGTGCCCCCCGCCCCCCATTTCTCTGAGGAGGAAGCTGAGCTCAGGGTAGAGCCTTACCTGGTGACACAACTCAGCAGGGGCAGCGTCTGGATTCAAGCCCAGGGCTGCTGACCAGGAAGTCGTTCCCTTGCACGTAGCCGCTGTGCTGAGCCGTCCCCACGAGCAGCAGAGGCAGGGATGGGTTTCTTGGTGGGAGATAAGGAGCGCGGGGCTGAGAGCGTGGGGGGAGTGGAGGAGGCCGGCGGCTCCCGGAGCAGCAGGAGGGGAGGCGTCTTTTCAGAGGAGGACAGGCACTGTGGGGAGGAGAGACCAGGTCTCCGGCCGCAGCCCTCCGAGCCTGCAGAGCCGCAGCCCCTGCCAGGCTGCCTGCCGCGATGGAGCAGCGGCCTCTGCGGGCCCCGCAGCCGGGCAGCTCGAACAGAATGGGGAGAAGAGCCCAGGTCTCCGGCCGCAGCCCTCCGAGCCTGCAGAGCCGCAGCCCCTGCCAGGCTGCCTGCCGCGATGGAGCAGCGGCCTCTGCGGGCCCCGCAGCCGGGCAGCTCGAACAGAAGATCTGTCCTGAGATGGAGCCAGGTAAGCTTTCCCGGAGCGTTCACCTTCTGGCTCCGGTCCTGCCCTTTGGAGGCGGTGACCATCGCCCTCCAGCACCTACCCAGCACTTCTCTTTTTCAGGCTGCACAGCCAGAGTTCTCTAACCAGCCTTCCTGACGCAGGGAAGGGTGAAGAGCTCAGTCTGGCCTTGGACATGATCCAGTGGTCAGAGTCCCCGCTAAAACCCATTACTTCCCGCAGAGCCTGCCCAGTCAGAGGGGAGGGGAGAGACTCTCACCTCCTTGGATCTGGAGCTCATGCCCCTGGCCGGCCCCCCCTCCACCCCCAACGGGATGAGAATAACAGCCAGCACCTGCCGTGTTCCTCGATTGGGAAGGTGGAGCCAGCCTGTCCCCAGATGGTGCCTCCCTCCAGGGGTCCATGAAGGAGGCCCGGTCCCCAGCCTCTCGTGTCCCTCTAATGGCTGGAGGGACTGGGGACAGGCCGGGCACTTGTGGTGCCGTCTGCGGACCTCAGGAAGGAGGCCCCCTGAGAGCCGGGGCTGTCGTGAGTGACTGTCGTGACTGTCGCTAACACAGCCAAAATCTAACCAGTGCCCCGCGGCCTGACGTGGTGCGTCTTGTCTCCCAGGAAGTGAGTAATAACCGTGGTAATGTCCAATTACCGGCTCCCCGGAGGTCAACATCCCATCGTGCCTGCATTGGGGTGTTAAGGGGACTCCAGGCCAGGAGTGGTCAGTGTTTGTCCAGCAGTGAGAGGTGGAAATGCCAGCTGTCCAGGCGCCCTGCGCACAGCCGGGGGGAGTTTGTTCAGTCCCCCTTCCATTCACAAGGATCTGTGGGCCCTGCCCTGTGTGGGCACTGGCCTGGGCTCTGGGGCCACAGCAAGAAGGTGGCGGACACAGGCTTGGGCCCTGTGGGAGCTGGCGTCCGGCGGGCATCTGGACAGTGACCGGGAAGGGTGCGTGTGTGATGTGCTGCAGGAGGAAGTGCTGTGCAGAGAAATAAAGCAGGAGGAGGGCTTGTAGGGCTGCCGGCTCAGCCTCCTCCCCGGGCCTCCGGGGCCTCCTGCCGAAGGCGTGGCTTCCAGAATCCTAGATGGAGTCGCCTGTGCCTCCCAGGGGCCCCACTGAATGCTTGGACTCGGTGTGTCCACAGCCGGCACAGGTGTACACACTGCCATAAAGTGGCCGTTGGCACAAGATGCCAGCCTGTCCCTGAGACGGCGCCTCCCTCCAGGGGTCCGGCCCACCCGTCCATGGAGGAGGCCCCGCTCCAGCCTCTCCTGCTCCTCTCAGAGTCGTGGCTCACTGCACAGCCGTCGGCCTTCAGCCACCAGGACATGTGGCCTCCCAGCCACCAGGACTTGTGGCGGCCCGGATGGCTCCAGAGCCACCACCCACGTGAAGTCACGTGTCTGCAGTGTGGCGGAGTGTGTGGTCTCCCCCAGCAAGCCAGCTCCCTTCCTAGCGCCACTGCCTGCCAAGGCCCCCTCCACCCCCAGCTGCCACCAGCAGCCACTGCCTCTGCCACGCCCACTCCCAGACAGGGCGGAGCCTGCCCCTCCCCCAGCTCCAGCGCCGTCCCCCTCCCCGTGGGTGGTCCGCACACACAGGTGGATGGGGTTTCTGGAAGCAGCCTCTCCTGCTGAGCCTCCCTCAGGGCCCCGCTGCCTGGGGCGTCAGGACTGCTCGCCAGGCCTGCAGACAGGCCGTCTCTGGCCCTGCCGACCCCCTGCTCCATCCCGACCTCTCCTACCCATCGCCGCAGCCAAGGGCCCGGCTTGTGTGGCAGGAACTGGCTGTGCCTCCTCCTGGCCCTTCGATCCCTCTTCACTTGTTCCTCCCTCCTTCTTCTCTCCCAGGAGCCTTCAGAATCTGTGGAATCTACACTAATAAAAGAGAAGCATGGTAAATGGCGTACGACCGCTACCCTTTTCATTGGCTAATCAGTGAGTATATGCAAATTAACTGTCAGCGTGAATACAAATCATTCTTTTTAATCTAGCCCTCTTCAAAAATCAATGTTCACAAAATAAAAAAATAAATAAAAATGTAAGAAAACTAAATTTAAAACTAGGAGCTGTGGAATCTTCATCAAACAATAAGAATACGTTGGCAGAGAGGGAAAGTTTAAAATATCAAAGGACAATAGTGCTCAGCAAATACATTAATAAAAGTGTTTATGGGGAAAAATGTTCTAAGTGCTTGTTGAAGTGGCCTATGTATTTTCAATGGAGAGAGAGTTTAAAATGCATTGATTTCTTCTTAAAAGGTTCTTAATGAGTCATTGATTCAGATAGTTGCACCGTGGACCTGTTTATATGTTCAGACAGTAGAGGTGTAAGAATAGATTCAAAGGCACAATTTTTCATTGCTGACTTTATCACATAAATGATTTTCTTTAAATTGTTAATTAAATACAAGTTTATTTTCTGGCATTTCATATTGAAAGAACTGTCATTTTCTATTTTTCTCTTTTATTACCATATTTCCTATGACAATAACTTCCATACTGTATCTCAAAAAAGACAAAGATTAAAGCTATTTTTTCATTCTGAAAGTCTGTACTTAAATATTCACCCTTTCAACTATGTACTACTTATTTCTCACATTCAACAGTCACATGTTGTCATCACTTCTCCCTCATATTATTCTACAGAAGAAGCTTAATTAACAAATTCTGTTCTCAAGTATGTACAGTTTCATTCTACAGTTATGTAACAAAACTTCACAAAAGTTGGTTATTTGGAATGTAGAATACATTCTAACAATTGATTTTAAAAGTTGTTTAGAATTATAATTAGAGTCTTTGATTCGTTTCTCCAAAATTTATTGAATGCATGTTGCATGATACTAGATTCTTAAAATGATTACTTTATTTTACATTAGTGGTATCAAAACAAAAACATACATAGTGAAATCAAATAAACATTTAAACTATTATTGTTGGCTTTTTATATGATTGGGAAATAATGACTTAAAAGAATGAGTATTTTTGGAGGATGGGCAGGGCTTCCAAGAAATTTTATGGTTTGTATAAAAAAATCAAAGCAGGAACAATGGGATTAAAATCAGTTTTCATGCCTAATCTATCTATATAAAACCCTAATATGCAAATCGACCAAAAGGCAGAATGATCAGTGGAATGACCAGTCGCTATGACGTGCACTGACCACCAGGGGGAAGACGCTCAATCCAGGAGCTGCCCCCAGCCTGCAGGCCCCCACCAGCGGCAGTGGGCGGGGCCAGTGAGTGAGCAGCGCCAGGCCAACCAAGGCAGGTGAGAGTGGGGGCCCTGATCACCCCGCCAGTCACCCCACAGATCAGCCCTGATCGCTGGCCAGGCCTTTGGACCCTACCCATGCATTTTTGTTGTGCACTGGGCCTCTAGTCTCTATATATAAAAGGCTAATATGCAAAGTGTCCCCTTGGGAGTTTGACCAGGAGAACAGTTCAACCGCTTGCTATGATGTGCGCTGACCACCAGGGGTGGCGCGGAACATGGTGGGTGACCAGTGGCTGCCGCGGGGCGCTGAGGGAGTGAGGGAAGGAGGAGGCAGGGAGGCGGGGAGGCGGGGAACCCATGCACGATTTTGTGCACCAGGCCTCTAGTGGGTTTAATAATTGTACTCACCTCACGGGGGGGCCTTAGAGCATCTGAACAGCGCAAGGCACGGAGGGAGGCTGTGCACGGCCTCAGCGAGGACACAGTGATGTGCACGTGGCCGTGTACTGAGTGCCCGCTGTGTGCCAGCCCCGAGCTTGGGGCTCAGTTTCTGTGGATGAGGCATGTTCCCTGCCCTCAGGGAGCCACGGTGCCCTCTGGGACTTTCTCCTCCCTCTCCACACTCCCCGCCTCCCCTGGAGAATTCTGTTCGTCCTCCCTTGGGTCACCCGCTGGAGGAGCAGCGTGGCCCTCACCCAAGGCGCCTCCTGCTGCCTCTTACACTTTCCGAGGGTGCTGCCCCCTGCTCTCTGCGGCCTGCTTCTCACGCGGTTCCTCCAGGATCCATGCCACCGGGTAAATGGCCACTCCACCTGCTCAGGGCTCCGGCCTCGTTCACCCCCTTTTCCTCTCACCCACCCCCAAGTTCCACTCGTCAGCAAACCCTGTGGGCTCCACCTTCAGCCAGACCTAGGCCGCAGCTCCTGTCCCCAGTCCTTCCCCACAACCCTGTGCGAGCCCCGCACCTGCTGCCCGGACCAGTCTGGCAGCCTCCTCACTGAGCCCTGCTTCTGCCCTGGGCCACACAGCCAGAGGGATGGTTTGAAAAGTCTCACGGTGTCACGTCTCTGCTCAGACCTTCCAGTAACTTCTCTTCTCACTCAAATATTTGTCAAAGGGAAGAAGGAAGAAAGGAATGAGTGAGTGAATGGCCTTGTTCGCATCTATAGTACCTGGCACATAGTAGGTGCTCAAAAAACACCTGCAACAAGGACACACAAGGACATGGGTGAATGGGTGAGGACCTGGAGCACACAGTAGGTACGCAGGAGCCTGGTGGGCTCTGTTGGCTGAGTTCCTGATTCTCGCTCCTGGTTCTTGCTCCAGCAGAGCCCGCGTGCCGCCAGCCCTCCCGTCACTGGCTGGGTGGGAGGAGGGGCAGGCAGGCGGAGCCCACGCCATTTGGGGCCCTGGCCTGGCCTGTCTCGCTGTCCTGGGCGGGGCTGTTGACACGGCTGCGGGTTCTGGGAACCCCAGTCAGTCAGCAGTTCCAGGAAGGCGGCTGTCTCAGGGAGAAGTGTGTCCCTGGCCCCCTGCCATACCGCCCGCTGTCCCCGAGGCCGGAGGAAGCTCCGGGCTGGCCTAAGACTGGAGTTTAAGGACCAGTGGCTCCCCAGGGAGGCCCCCCGCAGCCTGAGTGTCGCTGGCTTCCTCCACAGGCCTCTTGTTATGGGACTGGCTGCATCCTGTCTGCCGATCCAGCCCCTTCGCGCTGGTTTGTGGTCAGGAGTGAGGAGAGGGGCAAGAGGCCCGCACACCCTCTGGGCTCAGGAAGAGCCCCCTCGGTCACTTCCGGACGGTGCTGGCCGCTGACATTTCAGGACTCGCCACTCACCTGCCCCAGATAAA